GTAGCGTATTGGAAGCCTGATCAAATGAAAAATACAGAAAAAAAACGATAATATCGTAAGAGTGAGATCGTATTTGTTGGAAGACACAAAAACAATACAATTTTCCATGTTTCGTGCATTTGTTTTCAGTACACAGGAATAATATTCCCACCGGAACTTCGCTTACACAATGCATGAGAGGGAGGTTGATGAAATGATAATTTGTCGTGTTTTCGAACAAAAATTCGTTTTTATATCACAAGAATTGTTTGCTCACAGTCGAACCTAGAGACGCCAAAACTCGCATTCCTGCATTGAAAATATGGTGGTCAAAAATTAATCGATAAGAAGAGGGTATATCGAATATTGATTTGAATATTAAAAATCCCAAGAATTGGCGAGGGTCGTATTAAGAACCAACATCTTGTTGATCGCAAATGCTATATCATACTTAGGAAAACTTTTTTATAATAACGAGTGAAATGCACAAGTTTTGCAGTTTAACGGGAAAAATGCAGATAATATGTGTAATATAAAAAGATTTTCATTGGATTTTTCACAGCGCACTTAAGCATTATATGAAAAGAAACGTAATCATTTCTTTATTGATAATTTTTATTTTATGTAAAATCAAAAGGAATATTAATCAAAACTATTCAACTGGATGATTTGTCTCTTCATCAGTAGTGTCATCCTCACCAATCTGAATTATCAGTGGCTCGATGTGTGCCTCTATTATGTTATCAAGCTTCCACATCTTTGTCTCGTCTTCCGATATCACATGCCGAACACACTTCTCCCATTTCTCCGCTGTGACTCTTTTCAAAGCCTCTTCAAAAAGTACTTTGAGACCTGCAAATTTGAACGTGGTGTTATGCTGAGCTACAAAATACTTCACATCCGCCCATATTAACTCGATGGAATTGAGCTCGCAGTGGTATGGAGGCAGGCGAAGGACAATTTTGTTTTGGCCTGCTGCCATCTCATCGACTATATATTTTTGGTATTCAAGCTTGCGCTCCTTGACAATTTTTAGTAGCTGTACTCTTAGCATTGAGTCTTCAAAGCTAATATTCTTTGATCGCAGCCAATTTTGGATTTCAACCTTCTTTGAAGACGTTGTCGGAATCTTCTCTAACCGTCACGAATGATAAGGTGCATTTTCCATTACAATCACAGCATTATCCTCCAGAAGGGGTAGAACTTTGGAAAACCACTGTTCGAAAGATTCACCGTTCATTTCTTCGTGATAATCTACAGTTTTCTTCGACTCGAAACACCACAGCCCTTCAGCAACAAACCCATTCTCGTTGCTGATGTGACAAATGATAAGTCGTTTTTCTTTACCTGAAATTATGAAGAGGTATGTAACTAAATAAAATAAATACGAGGGTTACTTTTTATATATTGAGATTGAGGCAGGTCTTAATATAAATATAAGCTTACCTGATGGATTTGTTAATCCGGTGGATAGTCCATTTAGAAAGGCCCTCCTAGATGAGGTCACAGTTTTATCGACCCATACTTTAGGGGTAGTATGACCAGCATTAACCCAGGTTTTATCCATATAATAAATTGTTCTCTGTTGTTCCCTATAATATTTAATTTTGGTCAAATACTCTCTCCTCCATAACACAATTTCCTCTCTATCCAATAATAAACTATTTCGCCCTCGTTTTTTCTATACAAAGATCAAATGTTTCAATACTTTATGGAATGTTGACCGCTTAAAACTTGGCAATAAAACATCTTCATTTATTTCTGTGCACTTTCCTCCTGATTGCATGTTTATCAACATCATCTATTGATTTTATAATGGTTTGACGATTCTGATTTGTATTCGGTTTGGAAAATGTATGATTTTGTTTATATTCCCGTAAAACATTGTGAATCGAAGCGCAACACACTCCAATTTTATCGGAAACTTTCGATACGATTTCGTCGATAGTCGATTTCTCAATTTTTTCCATCTCTTTCTTGAACACATTTAAAATCACTTCTTTCATCTCAACACTCAAATGTCTTTTTTTGGATCATTTCCTGGCTGGACTCAGAGGATAGCTCACAGTGTTATCAGCAGTGTCTGAACTGGACATCTTGGAAAACAATTTTAAACAATATACTATAACGCACGCCACACAAACACGCAAACGACTGATTACAACCCTGTGCTGGTACCGAACTCGTACCAAGAAGGCGAATTCACCAATAAACGCTGCCCTTTCCATCTGACACTGAGCGATCACGTGAACATCACGCTTTGGTTTTGTTTTACTCTATCTTGGATTTGGATAGACTTTAGAATACTACAGAAAAAACCACAGGGCAATCTAAGAGCGATACCTGTGCGAAAGTAGCGATTCAAGTTGGATTTGAAACGCTGAAGATTAAATTCATTTGGAAGTTCATTCCACATAGACGCAGTTCTCCAAATGAATGAGTTGTTAAACAGTGAAGTTTGAGGTGTACTGGGGTTAACCTCAAAACTATGAGCAGCGACAATTCGTCGCTTATTTCTGATTTGTACAACTCTTGGTGAAATAAAATGAGCTTAGTCATTTGAACACTTCCCATGAAGGTATCTATAAAAGAGAGACAAATCTCCAACCTTTCGTCAATGTTCCAGACTATCCAGACTATCAAGGTTGCAAGTGAGTAAATCATAGAATATATACATATTTTGCATTTTCCACTGATATAATTTGAAAATTTGAGAGTTTGCAAAGAAAATATTTTGTTACCGACAAGATCTACAAAAGCTTCTGATATATTATTCCATATTTTAGTGCCTAAAAATATAGAAATCTAAAAAGATGAATTTTGTATGAATTCATGAACATTGAAATATGTTAAAAAAAAGAGCATTGAAAAAGATGTGGTTTACCAAATTTTCTGATTAGTGTGTTTCCTTATTCATAAGGGCAAAATCATTTTCTTTTTACTTTTTCATTTCAATTGTCTAGAATATTATTATAAACAATTGCATTGGTCATATAATTGTATTTTTTGTGATATCTGGTAATCAAATAATGATTTGAGTATTTTTTATAAATTAATTGCAAGTAATTTCATTTATTATTCAACTATTAATTTTTTCCATATCAATATTAAGTAAACATTTTTTTCATTGTTTCCACTTCTTTTTCGTATTCTACAAACAATATTGTTTTTTTAAATATTTTTTATCATTCATTTGATAAATAGTTCATTTCATACAGATAAATTTCCTCGATTCATTAAAAAAAATAGATAGAAACATTCATATTTTCATCAGTTCGGACTTCCTTTGTCTAATATAAAATAAATTGATTTGAAATCCCTGAAAGAATCTGTAAAAAATTAAAAATAGTAACCGAAAAATAACAATTTTATTAAACAAAAAAACTGAAATTACAAAGAAATAACATACACCTAATAACCAAAAAAATAAAAAAATTGAAATATTAATATGAGCTGAAAATTAAAAAAATATTAACAAAAAAGAAAAATTAAAATTGAAAAATCCCAAAGCAAGTTACGTCATGACGTTTGGATTGTTAGTATCCACAATCGTCTTCAGGTTATAACTGCACTTATTCCTCCAAGATCTGACCATTTATAGGTCACTCGAGTACTTTCACCTATCCCCTCTTTTCTCTCACCGCTTCAATGGTTTTAGCGGGAGATGACCGTTTGGCGGGAGGTGGTTGTTTTCCGCTTGATTAGAGGTTTCCATATGTTACGTATCTCTACGCTAGCTTGGCAAAATGCATTCTTGGACGACATATACGCGGCTTCTTTGAATTTTCTCCTGAACCAGTGTTCCTCTTTTTTCATTCCAGAAAGACATATAATTTTCATCCAAATTTTCAATGAATAATGAATAATTAAGTATTTTTTCTTTCGTTGAATAAACTAAAATAAAATATAAAGAGAGAATTCATTGTAAATATCAAAAAAAATTGCCTAACTTTTTGTGGAAAGTTTCATTACATATTTAAACAGATACAGGTATTTCTGATCATTCTTCTGAGTTTCAATCTTGTATGTATTAGACACTAACAAAAATGTTTCAAATATTTAATAAATTATCATTATCAAGAGCAATTTGAGAAGTTTCAACTTTAACTTTTTGTGGAAAAATATTCTGTTGCTGTTAAATTTGTTCAAAATTTCATACAATTGTCGCTATAGTAACATCACAAGGAAATTATCAGGAAAACTAATAATAATATCAAAATTGGTATTGAACAAAAATACAATATAGTTTGAAAAAAATTAAAAATACGCTTTTAAAGAATATCGAAGTGAAAAATGATTTTTTTTTTAAATAAGCTTGAAACAATAACGAACGAAAAGTACTAGATTTATTGTGAAAAAACAACGGGTGCTTGATGTACAAAAATTTTAGCACAAAGCGCCCACGCGTTTACTAGTATTTTCCGTTCGTTATTGTTTTAGGCTTATTTTTAAAAAAATATTCTTAACTTTTCAATTCGATTTTCTTCAAAAGCGTGTTTTGAAGTCTTTTTAAACTATATTTATTTTATCTAAACTTTGGGATCCATCAGCCGTATATTGTTTAGAAAAGTGACCATTGATATTTTCCGATTCCGGAAAGGGGGCCTAAAAATCAGCTACCAAGCCCAAGGCAGCAGGCGCGCAAAGGAGGGTTACAAATGAGGCAGCAGGCGCACGTGTTAATAAAAAAAATACTTTTTTCAAATGAAGAAAGACATGTAAAGTGAGATCAAGCAATAATGTCGATATATCAAAGAGATTACGTACAGCGCCATCTGCTCGCGAATAGATCAAGCAATAATGTCGATAATTCTGTCGAATACAGATCTCGAGCTTGAGAGTTACAAACAAACAAACATACATACATACATACATACATACATACATACATACATACATACATACATACATACAGGTGAAGCTAATAAAAGCGTGTTGAAAAAATGAAACCACAAAGAATTGAGAATGAATCATAATCTCCACCAAATCTTTCAAAACTAATCAATCCACTATTTTTGTAGATTCATGCAGTACCTCCTCGAAAACCAAGGCCTCGCATGAACTCCGCCATCTTCGTATCGAACAGCGGGCCTGGACTGGACCCCAAGGAGTTTTTCCGGAGACACGGATCCGTTTCCAGACTCTGCAGGAAAGCCAGAAGCGTGGACAACATCTCCTTGGAGGAGAAACATTTTGGACTTCCCCAGCTCTCTATATCCGGACCTTCTCCACCGGAAGATGAAGAAAAAGAGGTGGAGGTGGACGCTGATGAATCTGAACAGCTGATGCTGATTGAGTGATTTTCATTGGATTTTTTTACTGGTTTTCTTCTAGGTTGTTTCATAAAGATTACACTTTACGAAGTCGCTGAAAAGTTCTAACAATATCGACAAGGAAATTTTCTCGAATTATAATCATGGAATGAATGAGGAATGATATTTTTCTGAGGGGAACTATTGTAATCACTCAATTATATACAGTGTGTGTCATATCGAGCTTCGTTAGTTGGAGATAAAGAAGTGTAATATTGAATAAATGTTTCGTATAAAAGTTTAATATATCTGTGAAAACTATTTTTCGGATTTTTTGCTGTGATCGGCAGGTTTTAATGCCTGACATTTCGTCTACAACTGCGTTATATATCAACAAAGAAGATATGGTATCGGTCGAAGCACAGTAAAAATCAACCAGTACGTCCACTTCCACTACTTTCATTCATAAAGCCACAAAATTCTGGGTGACCTCGAAATGAAGTGCGGAGCCAATTTCGTTCTTTTACCATAGGTGTACGCTTATATAAAAATGAAATTTAAGGATATTAAAGAAGATTTTGTGGTATACATTTTTAAGGCTGTCGAAACGGTGGCACTGAATAACTGGGTTGCAAATTCAACTTTCATTTTCTTGAAGTAAGTGGGAAAAACATGATAATATGTTAGTTTTGGATCCCCACGAATTTTGATACTTTTTTCTTCGGTATAAAATTTAATTATGTAATCCCATGTAATAGTTTTATCCCATAATACAAAATTATATTTCATTAGCATATTTCTCATTTACATAAAAAAATTGATTATCGGAAGAAATATTTGAGATATTTTTCAGTTGGATGTTATTAGATCCCAACGATTATGGACATACAGGATTGCTTACTTACATATATCGTCACGTTAAACAATTGCAGATGTGACGTAACACTGGTGACACTTTTAGTAGCTGCCATGAGACTGTGTGTTATTTTAACATTTTTTGAGGATTATTTTCGGACAGTATTACATTGTATTTGTATATTTTGATTGAATTTTTATTTAACTATACCAATTAGGTTTCTGAAACATTGAGTTTGTTATTGTGAAATTCGTATTTTTTTGTGCTTTTTGACATTTTTTAAACTGGTGTAACGAGTAGACGCCATATAAGACTTTGTTATTTTCTTCCGTTTTGAGGTTTGTTTTTCGCCATTGTGGAACTTTTTTTTGTTTTTTGAACATTTTTAAATTAAATTAAGGTAAAAATTGGAAATATTCACATCTCTGTAAGTAATAGTAATAATTGTCTAACCATTAAATAACCTTGTAATTTTTAATTAAAATGTCTGGTCGTATTTGTGCAGTGTCAACTTGCAAAAGCAATCAGTTGACTTTAGAGAAAAGTGGTGTTACTACAACTTTGCAAAAAGAATGGATTCGTCATTGCAAAAGAGGGGATAAATTCTCTCTTAAAAATGGATTTGTTTTTCAGAAAATGATTATGAACGAGACCTTCAAAATGAATTGTTAGGTAAAAACTTATTCTATTAGATTACTGCTTAAAATAAATATGGTTTTTGATAGGTTTGCCTTTGCGTCGTAAATTAAAAAAATACTGCAAAAAGAGAATATTGTCCTTTCAATATTATTTTTTGAATTTTTCAAACTGAGAACAATTATCATGATGACTTGAAGTCTTTTACTTAGTATTCATCCATCTATATAAAAATAATATTTCATTAAGGGATTTACCTGAAATTTGTTTATTTCAATTAAAAAGTGCAGTACCCAATCAATCCAGAGTCAACACTGTTACGTCACGAGACCACGTGACGTGTCTAACAAAATCGCAATACTAAGCAATCCTGTATGTCCATAATCGTTGATTAGATCCCATATCTGAAATAAAAACAATAACATTGAGACCAATCTCTTTTAATTTGTAATTGCCTCAAAAATTACTTCCTCTAAATTTTTACCAGAACAGGTAGTAGGTATTATAAAAATAGTAAGCTACTGGTTGTTTTCAGTTTGAAAATAAACCTCTTACCATCAAGTGGTGGATACTTCTGCCGGATCCATTTTTTCCGTTACCAGTATTTTCGAAACCAGTGATATAATCGGAATGACTGTAAAATAAATTGGGATCTTTCGAGAATCTATTTCTAGATAGATAGAAAAGAAGAGGCAATGAACATAAATAAAGTCTGGCTACCTGTGCTTAGAGGTACACAAACAAGGCCGGGTAATCCAATGAAGAGGAACCAAGCCACGCTCGCTAATAATAATATGAAACCAGAGCCAAATACTATCATCGTAGTAAATACGCTCGTAATAACGAGCGCATCAATGCGGGTACTGCGACCGTTATCACATCGCCTTTGTTAATGTATACCGCAGTTGTAGACGAAACGTCAGGCATAAAACCTGCAGACCACGGTTTGAAAACCTGGAAAATAGCTTCCACACAGTTATCTCCGGCCGTGACAGTTTGCATTCTTTTTCATATATAATTGGACCAAATTTGTTTCTCACACAGATATTGTTTTATTTTTAGAAACTGAACACCTTGACATTTATTTTACATTTTCATTCCTCCGTGACAACCTAAAAATACTGAGTTTATTGTATGACTATATACCTAGCGAATCTAGTTAGTTATAATATCAAAAATATAGAACAAATTTTGAGCATTTTCGGGAGATTTTTCAATAGTTCAGTTTCTCGGATCCAAAAAATAAATCGATAATTGATAATATTATTTTCCTCATGTTATCTTTTGATTTGTATTTTATAGATTCTCCGGAGAAAAATAGCTAACCTGAACCCGAAATATTTCAGTACTATTTTTTCCGAATGGAGCCATTTGGCGATGTGAACTATTTTGTAAATCACTTCCATATGAGAATTTTCAATAATTTCTTTGTTTAATTTTCAAAATGAATTTTCCTGAACAAACTTAACATTAAAAAAATATGTCCTCTGTTCTTCCAAGTTTTACTCAAAAAGTTGATTGTTGAAAATAATTACTTTCTAAAAACTATTTTCTATACAACTCCATTTTAATAAAGATGTTTTCAACGATAAACTACATCTTGAATAAAATATATAATGACCCATTTGAAGTTATTATGCGTTAATGAAAAAAACAAATTCACAAAATATACATATTTGTCTTCGAAATGTATCAAACCCTTCAATTGAGTTTTTCATGAAAATGGGAACTGTAAAATAGATTGACTATTTGACGTTACTTTTGGCATAAATTCTGAACCGCTCGATATATACATACCCACGCAATCTCATATTTTTCTGGAGTAATTTCCTGGTGGAATCCAAATATTGAAAACACACCAATTATTACTGTGTATATTGGACAATATTTGAAAAATACCAATGCATTCACAACCAACTTTTCTATACAAAACATCTACCTACTAATAAGATCAGTTTTTTATCTGAAATTTCTGAAGAAAGCACGACGGGACACACTGTATATTTTTTCATAAAACAAATAATATATAGTTGAAAGTAGAGAAAAATCTTCAGTTCAGGACATTGTGATAAAAACACAATAAATGAAGGTCAACAATCTCAAAATACAACAAGTGAATCCCCTAAAAAATCCGGCCAAATCTGAGTATCCCAGATATTGTAGTAATAAACTGATAAAAGATATTTTTTCAGTATTTTCCAAACTTTCAATAGTACGACAATTGGAGTTATCTATTTTTTGTTCATCATGAAGTTCTCTATGAAGAAGTCTATATATTACTTTTTTAATTTCGGTTTTTCAAAAATTTGATATTCATGTAACTACGTTCATATATTGGATAGCAATTTGAATGCCTCAATGACTATGATAGCTTCGATAAATTTGTGATTTGTAAATATGACTCTTTATCTCCTTTCTTTTTCTCCCACTCTCTTTTTTCTCTTTCTCCCTCTCTCTCTTTCTTCCCATCCCTCTCTCCTCTTTTCCCCCCTCCTTCTCTCTCTTTTTCCCTCTGTCTCTCTTTCTTTCCATCCCTCTCTCCACTTCTCCCTCCCTTCCCCTCTCCCTTTCTTCTTCTGTCTCCTTTTCTTCTTCTGTCTCCTTTTCTTCTCGTCCTTCTCAGCTCTTCTCCCTCCATATCCCCCTCTCTGTCTATCTCCGACTCTCCCCCTTCTTCTTTCACCTCTTCCTCCACCTCCTTCCCTCTATCACCCCATGTCTCCCCTTCTCTTCTTACCCCTCTCTCCCCTTCACCCTCTCTTTCCTCATCCTCTCTATTCAACTCTCCCTTAAAGAGTACACTCTCATCACCCTGAAGAAAGACAGTATCTTCATTTGACCTTTATTCGACTTGGAAAAAAAGTTGATTGTATGGTGTTTTTCGATATAAAATCTGACTTCCATCAAAGGCAAGATCTTAAATACTGCTGTATTTCCGTTTTATTATTATTTATTTTTAAAACTTTTCAGCGACACTATTCACCGGGAAGAAACAAAAACAAATGAATGATATTTTATCATTTTCCTCCATTACACAGTTTTATTTATGTAACAGTGTAATTAAAATTCTTATCACAATGAGGACAAAATGGAATTTCGAAATTAAATCAGTAGATATGGAACGAACAATGTGCCAAGACTCAAGATCTATTTTGAATATCATTCATTTCCTTAGTTTCTTCTAGCATTTTCCGTCTCCTCTGTAAATATTTCAAGCAATAAAGGGTGAATAGATATTACAAACACTAAAAATGGTGCCAACGTGTGCGATTCTAAAGTGCGGGACCGCTTACTTATGTATCTCGTGAACTAACTAGCAAGTAGGTATGTATTTTTTCATTACCAAATATCTCGGGAATTATATGAATTTTAAGAAGTAGTGTAGACGTGCGAGAATTCATCAACTATCAAGTATCTTACCAAAACAAGTTTAAAATTTTTCATTTCACGTTATTCTAACAAATGAGTGGTAACTGAAGTTGAGACTTCAGACGTGGGGCTCATATAGAGTACACACAATTAAGCTAGCTAACAGTGAAAAAAACATTTTCAAGTACAAGCTTTTAGCGAGACTAGCTTACTTTGAAATAATATAGTTAAATATTTTAAACTGATTGCTTCCTTTCTTTGGAAGATTCCCACATTTTTTTTGTATGAAGATGGTGAAGTAGAAAACCAAAGCTTCTCCTTCCCAAAAAATTATTTTCTCTTAAAAGTATACCCCTTCCCCTTTCAATTTAAACAAGATTTCTATGACTGGGATTCAATAATAATAATACGTATTATAATCGATGACATGAGGCGATAAGGCAAGTGTCTTATGCCGAAATATCGAATGTCTAGCAGTTACTTTCAATTCAGTATATTGTGTAGGAATCCTGTGAATGATACCTGATTCAATTCTATGAGGAATATTTGAAATACAAACTGAATAGAGAAATAGTATATTGTACAAGTGAGAAAAACGACAATTTCTCACGAGCACAGAAGTTTGTTGGCTGAATGGATTCTACTATACTTTTTGAAATTTTCATTTTGTTAGCTATGGAGTTGTCGATATAACATTCAGCAACATTGCTAGATTTCAAACCCCCATGGCGTTTTCAAAGTTAGAAGATCTGTCCCTTCATTAACTAAAATAGTCGCAGATAACCTTCGGAAACAGTGGCCAGTATATAATTCAGGGTTCGGTAATTGCAAAAATTTTGCTATTTCTTTCGCCATGGTGCCAAATTTATTTATCCCCACACGATGTTTCGTACATTTGCTATTTTTGTAATTCAGAAAAAAACGTGTTTCATTTGGTCGAAGCTTCGCGTATGTTTTGTAAATTTGGTAGAATTCACCTGTGGCTGTGAAATTTCTAGGAACCTTGGTTTCAGTAATTTTATTGAAGGGGCCGAATTAAAATCTTCCATGTCATCAATTTTTCATTTTCGAAGTTCATCACAACGGCATGCCCCTGTAAGACCAATAGCTAAAGCAGCCTGAAATCAAAACCAAACATTCATTTTTCAATAACAATTTGAAAATTTTCAATTCATATGTTTATCAGCAAATACTTTTCATAAGGTGTATCTTTTGAAAATTGTTGAATTTGTACAGAAGTGAATGTTTTTGACTGTTTTGGAGCATATTTTTCAGACTTGCGTTTAAAAATGCACGTAGTTTTACGTATTTTGATATATCAACACAGTTTTTTATATGTAAGGTACATCTCAGCATCGAGTACTGAGACCAACTAACAAGGTATTTTCGAAACAAGAATTTACCTTGGCTTTCATTTTCCACTCCATAAAGTTTCTGTAAGCGATTTCATATCGTTCAAGAAGGCCATTATCAATTGCAGTTTGCACTTCATTATTCTTTCCTTTCTTTCTTATTTATTTTTCATATTGAAACGTTAAATCCAAAAAAGTTAAAATATAACTATAGTGTTTTGAAAGCGATTTGCATTCATAATTACCATTATTATTCTCTCTCGATATGTACTCGAATCACAGAAAGTGTGATACAACAAACGTCTCAAAGTCCACTCAACTACAGTTACCAACTGAATCCTCAAATGTAATCATTATTGAATTTGAAGTGTTTTTGATTATACGTCAAGCATATCATGGATAACGATCAGAAATTATTTTATCGAAAATGGATCAGGGAACTGATCATTTTCAAAATTTTTGGAGTGGGACCAATATGAACTTTTGTAAATACAAAGTGAAGAAGAGCTTTAAATTGTCATAAAACATTCAAAAACACTTCTTTTGTTAGTTTCTTATTGTTCTTAAGGCTATAAGTTTATCGAAATTCACGAGTTCATTTTTTCCGTTGGTCTGTTGAAAGATTGTATATTATATGACGGATAATTTAGATATACAAAAAAATATTTGAGACCCCCATCCTATCTAATATTGTTATACTGTTTCTCAGTTAACTATCACAAATATTCAGTTTTCATTTCAATTCTGAGGAAATACCGAAAAAACATTTCTTTGCACAACATGTGAGTCGTCAGAGTTTACATTTGGGGGTTAAAAGATAAAAATGATTGTAGATATAATAGTTTCATTTCAGTGACTCTTTAAAGGTGGATTAAAAATGAATAAATTCAACCCATTGTCGTGCTCATATGAATGTCAACCCTCTCTGCTCGAAACTTGTGCAAGTTAAGAATTAGCGAGGTCTCATCTTTCAATATGTAATTGCTAGCACGGAGATAGCAAATTCTGGATAAATCACAAAATTAACTTATAATACTGAAGAGTACAACAACTGAACAGTATAGTATTTAAAAGAAAAAATATAACGGTAGTAACGAGGGTGATCCCAGAAGTATTCGGCCAAAAAAAGGAAAAACGAAAATTTTCCCAGGGACGTTCAATAAATTCGAATTTTATAATAAGAATTGTCTTGCTCTTCAAAATAGCCATCAACTACCGACATCACTGCCTCATCGTTGGAAAATCTTTAACCACTGAACCATGTTTTCAACTTTCGGAATAAAAAATAATCCAAGGGGGCTAAATCTGGCGAATAGGGTGCATTAGGTAGCAATTCAAACTTCAATTCGTTTATTTTGCGATAATGGATAATGCGATAATGGATTTGTGAGGTAGTACGTTATCTTGATGAAACAACACTTTTTTCTTAGCTATCTGCGGTCGTTTCTGCTTAATTTCTCCACTCAACGGTTGCCGTAAGTTCGCATAATACTCGCTTTTGATAGTTTTTCTTTTTTTTTAAGGTGGTCACTAACGCATCCCAAGAAACCAATGACATGACCACTTTTGCAGACGAAACGGTATTCGCCTTCTTTAAAGTCGGTTGAAGGCTCAAACTAAATAGGTATCTGGAAATTCAAATATCAAAAAGTATATCAGATATTAACTTAAAAGTTGAGGCTACCGCTACTGATGTTGAAAAGTTGAAACGACAAAACCATTGGATACAAAAGGAAATTAATAAAAAATAACATTGCAGTTTTTGAACTCGATATAGAAAAGGATTCCTTGATTGAAAGTACATTGTCGCAGTTGGACGAAGCACTAGACTTGAACCTTTCTGAGGCTGATATTAACAATAAATTTGTTGCTGGAAAATCAGAAAAGCCTCCTATCATAATAGAGTTCATTTCTTTCTTGAGGAAATCTCTGATTTTTCCAAATCGTCTGGCAAATGATTTGTGTTCTAAACATAGAGAGCAGTAGTCTGTTTACCTGAAAAGAGCAAGGGAACAAAATCTTAAAGCCACCATTAGAAATCACGAACTTATCATCGGAGGTGTAGGTATCTTACACTGTCCAAGATCTTAAAGAGCTCGAAAATAGAGTCTGATTGTGCAGGAGGCAGAAAAAAAGAAGAAGAAGAAACTACCTCTGTACGTAGCGACGAAACTTCAAACGGGAAAGACGAAGGAAATCGAAAACGAAGAAAGATTACTTTCAGCCCGAACAAAACTACCATTGGTGAAAGCGGTTAACTGAATTTTATACACAATGTCAATAAAATTTTGCTATATTAATGACAGATCAATTTTTTCTAACTTTACTTGTTTTGAAAATTTGGTATTTAATAAATATGATGTTATAACTGTCTCAGAAACGTAACTCCGCGCTGATATATTGGACTCAACAATATAATTACAAGGGCTTAAGTTATTTCGCCGAGGTAGACTTGGAAAGAGAGGCTTGGCATTTTATATTAAAAAAACTCTGAAATCAAGGTGTATAAATTATAACCACGTGAAAACATGGCAACTTTAGATATTCCTCAAATTTAAAAATAAAAAACTGCTTTAGATTGTCACAAATCCACGATGTGAATATCCGTTCTGAAAATCAACTTACAATTCCTCGTTTCAAAACTTCTCTTTTTCCTACAATATGTTCTGTAGCTTGGATACAGTTTTGAGTTTCCCTGTATGGTCTGGGAAAAGTTTTGGATTTTTTTTTGTTTCCAGGTTGAGTGGAAGAGCTTGTCTTTTCGGTAACTCACCTTACCGTCAAGAACAAACTCTGCCTTTTGCCAGATTGCTATATACGTTTGTATTTTATTTCATTGTTCTATTTTGTAGTCTGGGTCAATAAAATCTATCATTATTATTATTATTATCTCTAGTTCAGGCTGGGTACTTATGAGATTACCTTTACATATAGCACCACCGATGAGACCTTGGTTCTTACAAAAACTTTTTTTAATGTTTCGCCATATTTTTCAGAAATGCATTCGAAATTTCTCACGGTAAAAAAAAGACTATTAAATTTTTATAGTATAGCTGAGATAAAGAGACATTATCCAAGAATGAAATTCAAAATCAAATTGTATGGGATAATATTCACTACATATCATAATTTTAGAGTTATTAAAATAAAACGAATGCTTCAAAATATCATCTCAATTGAAATCCTTGATTTTTTATTTATAGACCGAAATCGTGAGGTTATTATTAGATATAACTCATTTTTTTTCAATATACACCTTGTCTATATGATTATAGTTTTTATATGTCTCATTCAGAAATGTAGTGCCTTGATTGCTTTCAAATTGAACATGCTATATAATTAATACATATAATGGTTTCCTGGAAAAGGGGTTCTCGTTGTAAAAGTCCAATTATTATACAGGTAGAGCTGAAAACAAACTCGGACCATTATTGTACACAATTCACATCGATATTTTAAAAATATTATCATGTCAATTAAATAAATTTCCCGGAAAATGTATAGCTCAATGACTCATATTGTGTAACGTATTAATTGAATGTCTCACTGAAAATTCAACTAAACTCTAAATAATGATATGTTGGAGATATCTTGATATATTTATGAAATAAATTAAATAAAAGAGCTTTAAACCATAGAATAATGTAGGAGTAAATTAAACTGTCCATTACGAAGACTTTCTCTTTATAAATTTTGAAAGTATCATATGGGTCCAATAATCATTTTCTTTCAAATCATTGGACATATATCATAATGCTTATTTGGAAATATAAAAAATTGCCTTGTTAAATAAATATTTACTACTCCGTTACAATGTACCAAATGAATAAGTACCAATTAAGAAAAAAACTTCTTTGTAATACCAAAATGCATGAATATTGTTTTAACTGTGATCATAAGGCCTTTTCTATTTAATCATTTTTTTAAAGTAGTTTACTGAAAAAGTATGTATCTATCTTGAATCTGTAAAATCTTGTATATACTTAATGACTTCGGTTTGTCACCAATATTTCTTTGTGTACTGCAATAAATATATCCCTAAAAATGGTATTTTCATTTCATACAAACCCATGAATTTTGGCTTGTTATCCATCTTCTGAGAGGATAATAAACTTGAATCTCTAGAGAAATAAACGGTCTCGCTGCTCCATCTACTAGTGAAAGTGGGAAGTAATGTGGCTGATAAAATCATGTATATTTTCATCTTTTTTAGTGCAAAAAAGCAGGCGAAGTATGACTTTCTTTTGATTTCTGAAGGGCCATAATTTCGGAATGAAGTGAGAGAACCTTGTTTTGACTCAAGAATCGTATCCTGCTCATCATTTCATGTGAATACAAACATTTTTTTCTGCCGGCAACTTGCTACCTGATTTTTCCCTATGAAAACTGAAAACCCATCTTCGATTGGGACATATCGATAATATTTGGATAGAACAATAATCTCAGATTGCGTATTCTATGAAACGTACAGGTATAGACATATATGTGTCAATTTGAGAATGAAGAATACCTCTTTCCTACTACTTGTTAAGCATATATAAGTAAGTTCTTTCGTGCATAGTACATTTTTATTATTGATTAAATGCACAATTGGCAAAGTAACATAAAACAATAAATAAAGTGTTGACAATCTCTTTCTTACTGATTTCTGCTGTTCGGTGTTCTGTGAGTTCAGTGTTTTGTCATAGTCCAATTTTCTGTGGTTTTGTTGTCAAATGTCAATACTTTGTATTGTGTTAACCTAAATATTTTATATAATATTTATATTATTACTTTATAGTTTAGTCTTTTGTTATTAATTAACCGTCAATAGTTGAAATATCGATCATAATGAAACGAACGTGGAACAACACAAACTCTTCTCCAGGATTCATTTATTTCAACCAGTCACCTCACAGTTATCCAGATCAAACATCGGAATTCCTTCCTTTCAGTGATTCTCCTGCTTCTAGATCTCCATCCAGTTTTAGCAACCCTAGACACATCAACCCCAGGTATTCAGGAGGAAATTCTGACAGTCGCTCTCCAAATCCAAAGAGACATTCAGGAGGAAATCACCGAAGTCCCCTATACTCCAATCTAAATAACAGATATTCAGGAGGAAATTTTGGAACGCAGAATCAATATTCTAATCCTAATAACAGGTATTCAGGAGGTAATCGGGGAAGTCACTCTCCTCACACAAATAAAAATAATAGATATTCAGGAGGGAATCGTGGGAGTAGTTCACCGCATAATTCAAATAATAGATATCCAGGAGGAAGTTATGGAATTCGATCGCCTTACTCTAGTCCAAATAACAGTCAAAATTTTAACAATTCTTTTGGGAGAAATAGAAGTAACAATAAATGGGTAAGTTATAAACGTGTTTCTCAAGTGGTTTAGATAGAACTGACTTCTTAATCGTTTATGAAAGTAAATAATATTTCATCAAAGAACTTTTCAATTGGTTCTGTTGACAGTGCTGTCATATTTATTTGTGTATTGAAAAGATATGACGTTGTTTCTTTTCTGTCATTTAAAATCTTCCTTCCACAATTTAAAAGGTGGCTGAATTAATAAATGTACTTGCAAGTTTTTGTATACGAAGATTTCAAATATGTAATAATTGAATGTTGTGTGTTGTTTAGTTGTTTAAGGCAAAGTTACATGTGAAAGAGTAACTCCTCTGTTATTTCGTTATTCATATTAACTTTTTTCTCATTACAGATTTCATACTGCATGAGATTTTTTCTTGGAGTTCATTAAAATTATATATATATATATTCATGGAAATATAACAGGGATCTTCAATTATCACTACTATTTACCGTGTTTTTTTCATAAATGTGTAATTTGATGTTCTAGAATTTTGGGAAGAATTCGAGCAATGACAGTAAATGTAATGTGTCAAACTATTATGATCGCACCTGTACAATGGATCCTTGGAGTGAATTAGAGGAGGAGCTGAAAGTAAAAAGGGCGGAAGAGGCTTTACAAAACTCTATCAATTGTAAAGACAATTCAGAAAATCTGATCGGAATGGAAGGAGAAACAGATTCTGATTCAACTGACTCTAGTGAATCTGATGATTCTTGTAGTACTGTTACTGAAGAAGAAACCAGATAGTAGTTACCATAAGTTTTTTTTTGTGTAAATATAACAGAGTCCTTTATTCAACAAATTTTTTGATATACATTCTGAAATGCATGTCCACATTTGTTTTTTGAGTTTTAATTGAGGCTATGCCTCCTCAATTTCATGAAGACCATTTTTCACAGTAGATAGTAGGTGACAAAATATCTGTACCTGATATTAGAATACAATTTTAGGTATTACATTACGGATGAATCTAATTGAAGAAAGTTAAGAGAAAGATGTTAGCAATATTATATCAGGGGCCCAACTACCATCTCGGTTGTGTGTGCAGGTTACAGAAGCTTACAAATTTTCTGGCAACTGAATTTTCTGGAAAATATATTCAATAATAAGAGTGAATATACTCATAAAAGTTATATTGTTGAGTAAATTGAAAGATAGAATTGAAGGTGCGTTTGGTTAAACCAGATAAAACAAAATACTGACTTTTATGAAGTATATTGTAGACTTACAGTAAAAAAAAAACCTTCTCCCAAACTCTTTGGATATCATTGTCACTGCGAATATAGAGAAGAAATCTTGCTCTTAATTGGCACTACATTTTCATTTGATTTCAACATATTAAATTAATATTACTGGAGTTTTTTCCCAATGCCAAACTGTTATTTTTAACACCTCGATCACCAAGTGATCATCTTCAAAAGGAAGATCAAACATATTGTTATTGAATACACTCAGAATGTTCTTCTCCAATTTATTTTCTGAGATGCCTTAATTTAAGGGAAGTTCATCAAACAAACATTTGAATTTATTTATTCATTCATACCCTATAGGATAACATGCATAACCCAGAATTGATTAGATCTGACAAAACAGGTAGATTTTGAAAGAACAATTAATACAATATTACTCATAGGTAAATATGTTGAAATGTCAATAACAGTCGATTTATTTTTAATTATGTTGAAATGACCATAATTAACGTATTTACAAATTGCGTCTGTAGACTTAATTTCATCAACTTCATCAAATTGAAAATTTGTAATATGGTAATCATATAAAAACAATTTGTTGTTGCAGGAGAATGTTATACAACAACATTCCTCTAAATTTCCATAAATCTTATTCAAATGACAATATATATGAAACATGTTTTGTTTTACCTCTGAAAATATATTCAGGTTATCTGCGTAAAATAAAACTTTGTAAAAACTGAAACAGGATCGAGATCATGAAGATATATAAAATAAAAAGGAGGGGTCCTATGTGTGAACCTTGAAGTACACCTAAAATGATTAGATTGGTATCCAGTGTCACTATATTTCAGGTTTGGAGGCGCCGATTTTTGGAATTTCTCCCAGAAGTTTCGCTAAGGCGAGTGGATAGCTTCTTCAGAGAAGAAGGATTCCACCATTCAAAACAGAGAGGAGGCTCAGATGGTTGCACATGCCTATCTACCGAGGGTCACAGGCAGAATCGGAAATCTTTTGGGAAAACAGCATTGAGACGGTTTTCAAACCTAGCAAGAAGATGCAACAAAGCCGCAGGTCAGCTAAAGACGAAAGAGACCCACTATCAGCAGCAGGGGTATATCGCATACTGTGCACTTGTGGCAAGGTATTCATCGGAACCACCAAAAGATCTGGGATCAAGGCTGAAGGAGCATGAAAGAAACTGCAGACTGGGCCAAACGGACAAGTCGGCTGTGGTGGAGCATGCACATGCCCCTAACCAGGGATACATTAGCCGACTGGTACGGGAGGCAATAGAGATCCACAAACACACAGATAATTTCAACAGAAAGAAAGAAGCTGTAGCCTCAACCGAATATGAAATCCCATTCTGAAAAGTTTAAGAATAGCAAACAGCATGACGACAGTTAGAAAAGGGTCGACAGATGTTATTGATAATTTACGTGATCCAGCTACAGGTACTAGCATACCAAACTATCTGAGTCAACTTAAATATGCTTCACACAGCCGGAATATCCAGTCATCGGAGATAAACTCGGGATGTATAAACCAGCGAAACGTCAGGAAGAAATTCAAAAAATCGACGGTCTTCAAACCTGAAAAATAGTGACACTGAAAACCTCGGCTACGAAAGCTTTAAACAGTTGATATCCTTACACTGTTACAATGAAGTAGGTCTCCATGCACACTAATAGTAGTCAGTTTTGATTGTCTAGGTCTAGATTATTGAATTAATAAAAACACCCAAGATATAATATGATGTAATATTAATCATCAAATGTTGGCAAATTTTTCCATTGAACTGAATAGTTCAGACACTTTGCCAGTTTTTTCTATCGATCATAATGAAACGAACGTGGAACAACACATGTAATATATTTTCAATTTTCCTTTTATATTTTTTGTATTTTATATAAAGATCAAAGCATATTTCTTCATCATAACCTTCAAATTCCCATTTTTATAATATTTTTTTGCTGAACCCTTTTTTTAAATATTTGTACTGAATATATATTTCTATGTGTTAAGTTTATAATTTTATTTTGCTTCTTATTCGAATGAATATTATTTACAAAAAACTTATTTGCACACAGACTGCCAAAGTCGTAGACGGGCCCCTGTCATGAACCAGCTTGAATATAATGTGACATGTTGAACTAATTTCTACCTATGAATGTAAATGTTGATGATTCTGGAAATTAGGAAGAGAACTGTTCTAGTAAATTGATCATCAAGTTGTCTAGTGGAAGTTATTGCTATTTTATTTTGACAAGTGAAAAAGATATTTAAGAATTCAAGTTTTAACTTCAAACACTTAGTCTACACCTTTTAAGCATTGCAGAATCTGAAGAAAATGATTGAAAAAATAAAATGTACAACTATGAAAATGTTTATAGACATCAATCACATCTGAAATAATTTTTAAATTCATAGTTTGGAGGTTAAATGATTATCGAGAAATATTTATAACAGCTGTGAATGTATGAACCACAATATCCATTATTTTAATTGATTCCAGCAAAAAGACATAACTCAACTATGTGAAATATGAAGTGAAGCTGGGACATGATATCAAATGTTCCTTAAACTTTGGGTTAGAAATGATGAAAAAATTTCCCCCGGCACATCAGAAAATGTTGATTATTCCCTCATTTCTATCTATGAAAGTGTATGCAAAAAGGGAAAGATCTCCATCTCTTTTGTAAAACCCGCCATCTGCAAATTTGTATTAGAACAGTCCCACTTTTTGAAGAGTTTCTTTCATATGAACTACAGATGAGGTCTATTCAAGTATTGAACCCTAGGGTAAGCCTGCTAGGATTGGCTCACTTCAAGGCGTTTATTCACCCTTCGAAGCTTGATACCAAACAGTTGTTGAATTTTGTAGTTGTAGGGATGAACTACGATGTCTCACAGGCCTTCATACAGGTCACTGTTATTTGAATCATCATAAGCAGAGACTTGGACTGTCGGAAGACAGTGTGTGTCGCCTCGGTTTGGAAAATGATGTAGCAGCAGAGCATATACTTCGTGCCTGCCCCGCTGGGGACCGAATCAGGTTCTTAGAGTTTGGCAGAGCTGTACTCTTACCATCTGACCTGAAAGACCACTCACCATACACTCCAATCGACTTCGTTAAGAAGCTGAGTTTATTTGGTTGAGTGTGAATAGGTGTGAGCCAGAATAAACCCTTGTGGATTGCGGTGGAGGTCAAATAGACCCACTCACTTCAGACCTAACCTAACCTAAGCATTCTCAAAGACAAATAAAATTGTACAGCTATTGTGGAAAGCACTAAGTACGAAGTTCTAGTGCTACACACTATTGAGTGCTTTGAATATATTCAAAACTGCTCCAGAGATTCTTCTCTAAAATGAGCCTCGCATATATGATTTGATCTACGAGGTCTCCTTTTCATATTTGGTGACAAAAATCACAAGAGCGATATCTTAAAATAACTCTTTTGGGTTTCAAAGGAACTTTTTCTGATTCTTCATATTAACAATTAACAGTAGTTGCAATACGAGACAGTATTCAATTTCTGAGTATTAACTTGCAGAACAAATTGTCTTTAAAAATATTTTTTCAACTGTCATAATTGTTAAAATCGACAAACTCTTCAAAAAAGCACAAAATTCATTTTAATAAAACCAATTTCCTTGATTCATAGTTGTTAATTTTATTTTTACTTTAGTGTCAATTTTTTGAATAGTCTTACCGCTATTGAAAAATATCCTAATTTCTGGAATGTAATTCTTTTGTGTTCTGAATCATTTTTTAAAAAATCAGATAATAAGTGCATAATATTCACAGATGAGAATTCAGATTATCATTGTGGACAAAGTTATTCATTAACTGATTTCAAACTAAATGTGCAGACCAGAAAAAAAATTAAAATGAATCCTAATACTCATCTTAAAATGCATTGAAGATTTGAAGACATTGAAACATACATTATTAGTTGAGGAAATTGATATTGCTGAATTCACTGTTCTGTTATTGTATTGCTTATGTTCGTTTAAGAACACAAGAAATTAATTAAGAAAAACTCATGTAAACAGTCATCATTGAATCATTTTGAATGTCAAAATATTGTGCACTCTAAATTATTTATCCATGGGGTAGTTAGGCAATATTAGTGATAGGGGCGGTTTGATATTCGTCACAGACGGTAAAAACTATGATTTTTTTCATAGCAAATTTTATACATGTCAAAACACCTTGAAATTTGTCACAATATACCAGATAGTTCCATTAATTATACTATACTGTTACAAAGGACAATATTCTTAATTATGTATAATGTATGTCTTTAAAGTAAGTACTGTTTTTAAATTACGCCGCCGCAGCGCATAGTTCGGCGTTCACCTCTTTCGCACCATGTACCTACATCTCTGTGGAAGCCACAGAAGCCATTACTGTATTTAGATTTGTTCGTAAATGATTGAAATGTCGTCATCGGTTGAGTATACCGCCGACCGTGAAGTCCCTGCTGTGGATCGTAAGTCTTGAAAGCATCTGAAATTTATCGACCAATGGAATGATACTTCAATGGGTGTAACGATGAGAAACGAAGTGGGCGACAATTGGACCGCCCTCCATATGGTCCCGATCTAGCGCCAAGTGACTACAATTCGTTTCTGAATTTGAAA